AACGTTTTTTTTTACCCAAGAAGATCCAACGGTCTTGTCACCGAGCACCGCGGAAGAGCATTTAACTAAGAGGTTCGCACCTCTTTTCTTACTGATGTCGCGAAATATGCCCAAAACTTGTTTTGAACCCTGGATTTTTGAGTTAAGGTGGATGTGCTGGTAATGGTTTAACACACTCTCAGCCGGCGCGAGTAGGTGCCATGTGGGGGAGGGGGGTGCCATTACAACTAAACTATCCAACTAAAAAAAAATCCATCCAACTAGAAAAAAAAGGTCCCTTTTTTTGAGTTTGCCGATTGCATTATCGCCTTTTGCAAACTAAACGACAAAATTTACCGACTAACATGTCAAAAGGGACTACATTTGCCAACTGACTAGTCAAAAAGGGTCAAATTTTCCGACTAAATGAACAAAAAAATCATGTATGAGGTGGGGGGGGAGTTCCACCAAATCCATCGCGCCGGATTTTAAGAGGAACTCCAAAGCCCATAGAAAGTTTTTAGTACTATTTTTTTTGAGGCCTCTAAGAGTTTGAACTTAATTGCACAAAAACTTTAAACATTACAAGAAACTTTAAAATTACAAAACATTAAACTTTGCTGGAGAAATATTCTTCTCAGAACATCCCTCCAATAACGCTTTTCATTATTCAACTGCTGTTTAAATGAAAATCAATTTTTTCCTTTTATTATGACTTTTCCAAAACAGGACTGGACTGCATCAGTGTCCATTTTGCTTTGCTTATGCCTATGAAAAGAATGCCATCCATGTGACCATCAACATGTTACCAAATCCAGTTACGAAGTTGTCATCTGAATCTTGTAAATTATTAATTTTAAAATAGTAATAGTAAAATAATTCTAAAGTCACAAAATTTCACATTTTTAAGTAAATAAAAAAAAAAAAAAGAAAAAGTTTTCGAACTTTTTCCGAACTTTTTCCGAAATAGTTTTAATGTATTCATTAAGTTTTCTGGTATTAATCAAACTCTGTTTGCTTTATAATCTTTGTTTGCGTTAAATCATTTTCAAAATGGTGTTATAAACATTTGTAAAGCGACTAAATTTTACCTTCTTCATATTGAAATATTATAACATTTCATTTGGTTCCAATACTCTTTTTTCTTTAATAATGGTAGAAGTTGAAACTCCTTGATTTTGTTTAGTTCCGTTTGTGCATAATATTCAGTCTACTATTTAAACACTGATCTTGGTCTATTACTTCTATTTTGGGATTTAATGTTTACGGAATTAAAAACAGCTCAATTTTATTAACTTACTGCATCTAGCAGTTTATCAATACTTTTAAAGACGGTGATTTTGTATTTCATAGTTCAACCAGATCCTGAAATAATTAAGGAAAAACTTGTTTTTTTAATTTATTATTTATTTTTCCGTTGAAAACTAATTACTTCAAATTTGTGTCTTACATAATACAATAATGGCGGACCTCAAGAAGGTTTTTTCATAAAGCTCTTTACTATTTATGGGACGATTTAATGAAAATGAAAAACTAGTTTTTTTTAAATCTATTGTTTTGAGATTTAATGCAATTGTTTGTAGTGAACTAACAAATCTGTTTAATAATATATCATTTCGATATATAAAATTTCGATTTATAAAAAAGAAAATAAGTTGTTAGACAAAACAACTTATTTTAATTAGCTGTTTTGTTGACTTGTTTCGAATTCTTCTTTAAAACAAAAAGTTTAAAAGAAGAATTCAAAAGTAATAGAAGCTACTTTTTGTTAAAAGTTTTCTAATTTTTTGCTTGATTGAAGCTAAAGTCAGGTTTTAGGTTTCGAGCAAAAAAAAATTTAGATATAGTATTCTTTAATTTTTACAGTAAATTTAAATTTTAAATTATTTTTTGTCAGTAAAATATTTTTTAAATCTATACAAAATTATTACTAACGCATTGTTGACCGTGACGCAGTGGTTACAGCGATTGCTTAATAAGTAGGAAATCCAGGTTCAAACCGAGCTCTGGATATATTTTCGCGTCACGGTAAGGAAGAAGACAAGAACTACCTGGTTAAATGCACTTCCGCGGTGCTCAGTGACAAGATCTTTAGGTTTTCTTAGGGCACCTAAATAACAAAAATAAAAAAAAAAATGTATAAAATATATATTTATATCTTATAAAAAGTAAGAAATTTTACAAGAAGCTTGCAGAGAATAAGTTTAGAAAAAATTAGTAACTAAATTTTTATCCTTTAAAACAGCTAATAGTTTTTTAAAGCAATTTTTAAAGCAGTTTAAGTTTTTTTAAATCAATATTATTTAAATTAGTTAGTAAAAACTTATTCCAGATATGAGATGCACGATAAGTCATTTTACATATAACTTAGAACATCATACACATATAATTTAAACAATGTTAATATCGATATTTGTTCAAAAAGAAGTTTTGAATGTTCTTTTTTATTTTTTAAATTAATCACACGATAAAAAATGTATCTGTTTACGATAGAAAGGTTCTAGTTTAGTTTTATTATAATTTTAGGTACTACCACATACTATACTACCGTAGTTTAGGTAACTTTAAACAAAGCTTTAGTAGATTTGTTTGAATAGTTTTTTTAATAAGTAACGTGATTGCAGTATTACTGCATTATGTGCCAGAAAAATTTGTGCGGATATTTTAAAAGACATTTTTTCAAATAATGTATTTCGATATTGAATGTTATATTTATTTTGAAAGTACATATATTAATATTCTTAAATTTCATTTAAGTATGTTTATAAAGTTGTGTACGTGACTATACTTTGCGTTTTACACTCAACAACAGCTTTTGAATAGTCTTCGACTTTTTTAATAGTCCTAATCCATATATTTTTGAATTCGTGGATGTTTTTAGCTTCTTTTAAAGCGTATACAAAAAATAAGTGTGAAAATAGAAAAACAACTTAAAAAAGATACTCATCAACATTTATTTAGAACTAAGTATCATTTTAATACGTTAATATGAGAAGATAAAGTATTTCAAAGAAATTAATTTATTCCTGTTGACATCATAATCAATCATAAATACATTGAAACTAGTAATTCCTGATGTAAAACAAGTATGGTTAGCCAATGATGCTACCGCTGCAGGAAAATTACAGTCTTTAAAAAAGTGATACAAATGCCTAGAGAATGTCGGTAGTTTGTATGGTTATTATGTAAATCAGTCAAAATGCTGGCTAATAGTAAAATCTGATAACCAAGCTGAAGAAGCTAAACTTATATTTGGCAACTCCATAATATAACTACTGAGGGAAAAAGGCACTTAGGAGCTGCACTTGGTTTGGAAGCATACAAAAAAGTGTATTGCGAGGATTTAGTAAGTAAATGGTCTAAAGAACTTAACAATCTCTGCGAAATCGCCACCACGCAACCACAAGCTGCTTATTCAGCTTTTATTAAAGGGTACAGATCTAAATTCACTTACTTCTTACGCACAATTGAAGCTGTTGAAAATTTCGTAACACCAGTGTAAAAAAATTTATCAGAAATATTATTACCTGTATTGTTTGGAACTGATTGTTCTATAATCAAAGAAAATAGGGATTTATTGGCGCTAAATCCATCTGAAGGAGGACTTGGAATTTGTAACTTAATAACTGAGGCCAAGGAACAGCATACTGCCTCTAAGAAAATAACTAACTTGCACATAAAATCAATACTCGATCAGTCAGATGTTATGAAAGAAAAAGATGATTTCGGGAAAACATTTTCAGAAATAAAAGCAAAAACAAATATGGATAATTCTAAAAAAAAAAGAAGAGGTTAAAAAAATACATGCAGGACTTCCAGAAAACCTTAAACTTCTGGTTGAACAGGCCTGTGACAAAGGTGCCAGCAGCTGGTTAAACACCTTACCAATTAAAGAACAACATCTAGATCTGAATAAGGAAGAGTTTAAGGACGCACTTAGATTGAGATATAATGTGCCACTTGCCAATTTACCATCCTACTGTGCTTGTGGAGAAAAACTTTACGGGCTACACGCAATGTCATGCAAAAAAGGTGGCTTTGTTTGTAACAGACATGATGACATCAGAGATTTATTAACTGTTTGCCTAAATAAAGTTTGTACTGATGATCAAGCGGAGCCGCATTTAATTCCATTGACAAATAAAAAAATTAATTTCAAAACTGTCAATACCAACGACGAAGCTAGATTGGATATAAAAGCAAAAGGGTTTTGGAGAAAAGGAGAAACTGCATTTTTTGATGTTAGAGTAACGCACTTAAACTCCAAATCCTCCAAAAAACAACCAACAAAACACATATTCCGTAGGCATGAAGATGCCAAAAAACGTTAGTATTTAAAACGAGTTCTAGAAGGTTGAACACGGGACATTTACCCCATTAATTTTCGGTACGAATGGTGGGTTTGGAGACGAATGCAAACGCTTCACGGCACTATTCGCACAAAAACTGTCTTTAAAAATGGGTGAGCGGTACGGAGCTGTTATAAATTGGCTAAGGACACGTCTTTCCATGGAGATTACTAGAGCCTCCCCAATCTGCTTAAGAGGGTCACGAACCTCATTTAGGCATTATAACACTGACGATGTTGGCCTGGAAAATGTGCAATGTGGACTTATTTAACTTGTATTTTTAAATTGCTTTATTAGTTTAATTATTTTTGTTTTCCTGTTGACATCTAAGAAAATTTCCAACTTTTGTTTTGGCGGTACACATAAGCTTGCGCACTGAACAACAATCAAAACTATTTGATGCTTTTTGAATGACAAATTTCAAATGTTTAACATTTCTGCATAGTTTTTTTTATTTTTTGTTTTTTAATTGCCCAGTACTTTGTATTAATTTTCAATTCTTTTCAGTTACATAGCAAGTTTACATAGCACTAGCCGCAACTTCAACGCGATCGGACGTGTTTTTTTTTAAACAACTTTATTAAAGCGAAATTACTTTACATTTATTTTTCTAAAATACAAATCTTTTTTTTTATAATATGGCTGTTACATTATTAGAAATAACAAAATTGTTTGAGGACTACAAAAAAGAATTTGAGTTGATGTTAAAACAACAAGAAAAAGTTTTTATTGATATTATTAGTGGAAACTTGAAAATATTTAATGGCAGGTTGGAAAAAGTAGAAAAAGACATCGAAGAATTGAAACTTAGTTTAAACTTTCATGAACAACTAATTGATGAAAAAGTTAAGAAAGCAAAGGTTTGCAGTAAAGAAGACAATTCAGAAAGTATACAAAAAAAGTTAAGGGAATTGGAAGATCGATCTAGACGTAACAATTTAAGAGTAGATGGAATTGATGAAAATGAAGGTGAAAGCTGGGAAGAAAGCGAAATGAAGGTAAAAAAATTTTTTGAAGATATATTATCAGTTAAAAATGTCCAAATTGAACGGGCCCATAGAACTGGAAACAAAAAATTAAAAATGCCGAGGACAATAGTGATAAAACTTTTAGATTTTAGAGATAAAGTCGCGATCTTGAGCAAGTCGAGTAAGCTAAAAGGGAAAAACATTTATATAAACGAAGACTTCTGTTTTGAAACAATACAAATCAGAAAAAATTTGAGGGAGAAAATGAAAATTGAACGAGCTGCTGGTAAGTTTGCCTTCATATCTTATGATAAATTGATAATTCGCGATTGGGTTGCAAAGAAAAGCAAAAATTTATCTTCATAATATTTGGCATTAATTAACGCAATTTTATTTTTATTATTACTATGCATATTTAATTAAACTGTTTTAAAAATGGAGGAAAATGTCATATTTAAATCTTCTAATAAAAATGACATCATCGGTGATAATGACACCGACTCTAATTATTTTAATCACAAAATGCTAGAAATACTACTCAGTTTCTGAATCTTCGCAATATCTAGGACAAACTAAAAACACTTTTTCAATTTTAAATATCAATATTCGAAGTTTAAATAAAAACTTTGAAAATTTAAAAATTTTATTGGATGAAATTAAACATGATTTTAAAATTATATGTTTGACGGAAACTTGGTGTAAATGCGGTGAAACAAATTATGAATTTGAACTAGTTAATTACACATCAATTCACCAACCGCGTGAAGTTAATGCGGGTGGGGGCGTTAGTATTTTTATCCATAATTCAGTTAATTATATTTTACGTAACGATCTCTGCGTCAATGAAACAGATTATGAATCATTGTGCGTCGAATTAGTAAATAATAAAGAAAAAAACATAATTATAAATACTACATATAGACCACCATCTGGAAACTTAAAGAAATTTAAAACTCATCTTAAAACATTTCTAAACAAAATTACAAATTCGAGAAAACATATTTATTTGGTGGGGGATTTTAACATTAACTTGATCAACTATGCTTCAAATAATAATACTAAGAATTTTATAAATACTCTTCTACAATATAACTTTATCCTAACAATAAACAAATCAGCAAGAATAACAAATAGGTCTTCTACTCTACTTGATAACATCATAACTAACAACTTTCATAATAACCCTCTTTACACAGGTATAATCCAGACCGATTTATCGGATCATTTTCCTACATTCTTAGCTACAAATAACATTTTAATTAACAATATTTCCACAAAATCCATAATAATTCGACGACAGATCAATGAAAACTCCTTAAAACAATTTAAAAATTGTTTAAAAAATTGTGTTGATTGGAATCTAGTACTGCAATCAAATGAGGCTAACAATGCATATGACTTGTTTCTTAATCAATTTTGCAAACAATATGAAATAGCGTTTCCAGAAATAAAAAAAGTCATAAATACCAAGTCACTTCAAGCTCCCTGGATGTCTAAAGGCTTACTAAAATCTTCAAAAAAGAAAGAAAAATTATATATAAAATATCTTAAAAAAAAAACTTATAAAAATGAAATAACTTACAAAAATTATAAAAATATATTTGAAAAAACCAAAAAATACTCAAAAAAACTATTTTATGATCAATTATTAAAGAAAACCAACGGAAACACTAAAAAAATATGGAATTTAATTAAGGATTTAATTGGAAAAAATAATTATAACAAAAGCACTCTGCCAAAAAATCTTTTAATTAATGGAGAATTAGTTTATGAAAAATCAATTATAGCTGAAGAACTAAACAACTACTTTGTTAATATTGGCCCGAATTTGGCTGCTAAAATTTCTACTAATTCCATTCCATTTGATTCATACTTAAAAACTTATGATAAACTTATGGATGAAACTGATTTAAAACTGAGTGAGTTGAGAACTGCATTTAGCAGTCTCAAAAGTAAAAAAAGTGAAGGTTTTGATAAAATTAGTGTTGATGTTGTCAAATCAGTATTTGAAGTCATTGAACCTTCTTTATTTCACATTTTCAATCTCTCATTAAAGTCAGGTATTGTTCCTAATAAATTAAAAATTGCCCGTATAACACCAATTTTTAAATCTGGAGATAAGTCAAATATTTTAAATTAAAGGCCTATATCAATCTTACCTTGTTTTTCAAAATTGCTAGAGAGAATAATGTATAACAGACTTTATAATCATCTAACTGAGAACGACATGTTGTATTGTAAACAATTTGGTTTTAAAAAAAAAAATTCCACTGAACACGCAGTAGTTGAACTTTCCAATCAAATATCTAATGCCTTAGATAATGACTGTTTTACATTAGGAGTTTTCATTGATCTGTCAAAAGCTTTTGATACCGTAAATCACTATATACTAATAAAAAAACTCGAAAACTACGGTGTAAAAAATAAAAACTTACTTTGGTTCAAAGATTATCTGACTAACAGAAAGCAATTTTTATACTATAATAAAAATAATACAATTCCACACTCCATAACTTGCGGGGTTCCTCAGGGTTTTATTTTAGGACCACTTTTATTTATATTGTACATAAACGACTTATACCTATCAACAAATCTTTTAGACCTAATTTTGTTTGCTGATGATTCAAATCTTTTTTGTTCTCACCGAGATATTAAATCACTTTTTAAAATAGTTAACGAACAGTTATGTAATGCTAGTGCATGGTTCGTAAGTAATAAACTTTCACTAAATGCGGAAAAAACAAAATATATGCTTTTCCATAAAGTAAATAAATCAGAAAATATTCCTCTTAAATTACCAGATCTTAATATTAATAAAACTTATATTAAAAGGGAATCTTACATAAACTTTTTAGGAGTAAAATTGGATGAAAATTTAAAATGGTGTTCACATATAAATAGCATTGAAAAAATAATCTCAAAAAATATTGCAATGATGTTTAGGGCTAAACCCTTTCTAAATATATCATCTCTGAAAAAATTATATTTCGCCTTTATTCACAGTTATTTGTCTTATTGTAATGTTGTGTGGGCTAGTACTAGTCATACAAAACTAAAGAAACTCTACAATAAACAAAAACATGCATGTAGAATAGTATTTGGAGCCGACAGAAATGTTCCTTGCGAACCACTTCTCAGTGTGCTCGGTGCTTTAAATGTATATAAACTTAATTTACACAAAGTTTTATTGTTTATGTTTAAAACAAAAAAGGATTTGTCTCCTAAAATATTTCAATCTTATTTTAATAAAATTAACCATAGGTACTCAACAAAGTTTTCAGAAAACAATTTTGTGGTTCCAAAACATAAATTAAAATTAACTTCCTATTCAATTAAATACCGCGGACCTTATCTGTGGAAGAAATTTCCAGATATTGTTAACAAAAAGCAGACTACATTAGAGCGATTTAAGGATGAATCAAAACGATTATTATTGTTCATGGATCTCAATAAATCCGACTTTAAATGTTTATTTTAAAGTAAACACAATAAAAAAAAAAAAAAAAAAATAGATTCAATAATATCAATGATATATGATAATATGAATAAGAAAAGAAAGAAAAAGGAAAAAAAGAAAAAAAAAAAAAAAAAAAAAAAAAAAAAAAAGAATAAGAAATCCAAGTGATGATGTCACAAGTGATGATGTCATAAGTGATGATGTTACATATTCATTTAGTGTTAATTATGAGATTTTATTTTTTCAATTTCTTTTATATTCAGGAATTTTTTTTTTTTTTTTTTATATATTAACTTATTTCTTAAACATTTTAGCAACTGTTAAGCATCTTAACGCTTCTTAATTAATTCTTATTTTTTATTTTTTTTATTATATTAGTTATTTTCTATTTCATTTCTAATTGTTTCTTTTATATATATATTTGTATGTTACGGTTATGTAGAATTTTTAATGGGGCTCGGCGATAAGGCGAAATGTGCCTTCTTCTTGCTCCAGCCATTAATTTATAAAAATGTATATGCAATGTAAAAATTTTTTAACGGCGAAATAAATTACACTAAAAAAAAAAAAAAAAAAAAAAAAAATTCTGGGTAGTTTGGAGGACTTGCTATTTTAAACACAACTTTCACGTCATTTTGATTATAACATCCCATGGCTAGTTTGCTATAATGCAAAAATAAATTTAATTTCTTGTCTGTTTTTCCTCTATATTTGGCATTAAATTTTTTTTGTAATTTCAGAACAATTAGACACTTTTTGTGGTTTGAAAACTTGAAAAACATGTTTATTTTGAACTTTTACACAAAACTATGAGAAAGTACTTATCTTTTTGCGCGTTCCTATAATGAGAGGCTTGAGCAGTTCATAAAAGGAATGCTAGTAAAAGAAAAACATCTAAAATGTCCGTGGATCACCAAAGGAATTAAAAAATCTTCAAAAAAAAAAAAAAAACTTTATATCAAATACTTAAAAAATAGAAATGAAGCAAACCTAAATGGTTATAAACAATATAAAAATTTGTTTGAAAAAATCAAAAAGATTTCAAAAAAGAATTATTACTCAAATAAAATAAAAAACTCCAAAGGTTATATTAAAAAAACGTGAGACGTAATTAAAGAAATAATTGGGAACAAAAATTGCAAACCAAATAGTTTACCTACTAAAGTTGTTAAAATAATGAAGAGTATGTCAGTAGTGACGTAATCTCAGAAAAGTTTAACAATTTTTTTGTTAACATAGGCCCTAACCTGGCTACAAAAAGTAATTGTCCAAACAACTCATTTGAGACATACTTAACTAATAACAACAACGAATTAGCATTAAGCGAACTAAAAATTGAAGAACTTGAAGTTGCAATAAAATCTCTTAAAATAAATAAATCTCCAGGTATAGATGATATTTGTAGCAATATTGTTCTCAATGTCTTTTTAGAGATACGCAAACCGATCTTCGAAATATTTAAATCATCAATTAAAACGGGTGCTGTACCAGATAAATTGAAAAAAGCTAAAATTATACCAATTTTTAAAACAGGCGAAACATCTTTATTAAATAATTACAGACCGATCTCTATACTGCCTACTTTCTCTAAAATACTTGAAAGAATAGTTTACAATAGATTATACGAATATCTCCTTCAAAATAACCTCTTAAACAAAAAACAATTCGGATTTCAAACAAAACACTCAACCGAACATGCCATTTTAGATCTTGTAAATAGCATAAGTAATTCTTTCGATAAAAAGCAATTTGTATGAGGGACTTTTATAGATT